GGGGGGGGGGGGTAGGGTTAGGGTTCTTCCTCCCCATCATTCCTAACGGGCAGTTGGCTAGTGTCTTCAGAGAGCTGTAATCTTGTTGGTGGTTTTCTTTGGATTCTCATATGATGTCATAGTTGTGACACCATGATTAGTGTTCAGATGTCTATTTTTAATTGCTTTTAGTTTAAATTTCTTAAACTTAGCTTCAGCTCAAGAATGACAGATCTTTTGAAATATAACCTAACTTTTTTTTCAACTTCAGTACCCAAATATAAAATAAGCATTTGTCACAAATTATATTTTTCAGGTAGTATTTTTGTAACTAATTAAAATGCTGTGGTTCTATCCAAAACTAAATCTGGACATATGGGCTTGCCTCTCTTAGGAAGGAATTTGATTTGAAGCAACATAAAATCAAATCACTGGTGAAACTGAATTATAATTATGTATGGTATTTTTTTTCCCTGGGGTCTATATGCACATCCTTGAAGTTTAAAATGTCAAATCTTTGAATGTTCAGACTGAGACATGGTTCAGACCAATCTCTTGGAGTTGAAGATATTTCGGAGTATGTTGTCTCAAGCCTTTGGAACCACTTGCAAACTTTTCTTGTAATGTTTACTCACAGTTTAGCAGCTGTGGCTTATAAAATGTTATAATATAGCTGACCTATATTATTGTGAATATGCAAGTGTATCATGGAATGACAATGTTGAGAAAATAGCTGGATTCTTAAAAGAAAAGGTTCTACTTTGGCATTTTTGATGGTCTGAAATGCCCTTTTTCAGTTTTCTACTGTAATAAGTTCCTTGCTAATAAGGATAATCTTCAGTTTTCTTGAAGTTTGGTAATTGTACCATGTAAGGGAAAGGAAGCAGGCTCCTCAAGAGCTACTGTATTCTCTCTCCTACCACCATTCGGATGGATGGGAGTGGAAAGTAAGTGCAAAAGGGACTAAATGAACCCTTGGCTCTATGTTCCACCCTCCTTCTCCAACATCCAGGACAGTGTGGCTGCAGCAGTTTGCTGGGTGAATGTACTGTCTAAGAGTGTAGGTCTGGCACATGTATTTCCTGGGAATAATTGGGGACCTGGGAAGAAACTGACTAGGCAATTCCTGGGGCAGCACAACAAGATGTTGCTTTGCTCTTGTGGTAACCACAGTTTAACACTGATCACCCTTCCCTCCTTATGGGCTGGTCACGTCAAGCTTTACAACATTTCTACGGTATGCCTAAGAAGGTTAAACCAAAAATGTTAATAAGTAAATACGTGTTTAAAAGCTGTGTCTGCAATCCTAGAAATAACTAAAAAGGATCTGGTGCTAGATTTTTGGTATACATTAATTTTAATCTATTGCTTTACTTTGTTTCTGGAAGTCTTTTGCACTTGTTTTACCCAGATTTCCTGTTGGGTGAAAATAGTCCTATGGACAAGGCTAATCTAATTCCAGAAAAAACATTTGGAGACCAATCAAAGCCTTGGGGATAACAGTTCGGTGTACTTAAGATATGCATAAACCTTGCATTAGTCCTCTGCTCAGGCAGAATTTCATCATCCTTGTCTGGTTAATGTAGTGTCAGCCATTCCCAGAGATGTTTTTGCCAGTGATAATGCTAAATGGATGTGTACTGTAAAAGAAACTAAACATAGCTACCTAGGGTGTAAGGGTTCTGTGGAAACAGAGGGGAAAATGCTTGGAAAAAAAAAAAAAAAAAAAAAGAGGAAAAAATAACAGAAGAGAATGAAGTGTGAAAATAAAGTAAAGGTTCAGTAGGAGAATTAAAAAGTAACAAGATTTACACACAAAAAAAGAAAAACATAATTAGACAATTTTTTTTCCTCCGCTCTTTAAAGTTAGTACGCTAAATTGGGTTCTGATGTGTTGGAGGATGGAAACATGTCACCAAGTCAAAGGAAAGGGGCTTGTTCTGACATTCAGGCCCCTGACACGTGTTATATTTCTGGCATAATTAACATGTTCATTGTGTCATAAATAGCAGCATACCACATGTTCATCAAATTTATGGTGCCATAAAATGGCAAACCAGGCACAAATGTATTACTCAAATGTCTAACATCTTTCTGGCTGGTTTCTGTGGTGTCATAAATAGAACATGCGGCACTTCCCGTCATCCTCCCCGTCAGTCAGCTGATTGTCGGCTTCAGGATAGAGGCTCACCCAGCACCTTTAAAGAGGTTTATCCTGCAGCCTCTGAACCTTAAGACAATTTAGGTGCCAGGTCTCAATAAGCCTTATGGCATGGGACACCTCTAGGATCTGGCACACAGCACTTGCCTGCCTGATGCTGAGGATCAAGCAGGGAGATAGCCTTGGGTTTCCACTGGGACTGGTGCATGGTTGGTGCTGAATTAGATGCTCAGCTGACCGTTGGGGTCTGAAACAAAGCCTCCCCCTTCCCAATTAGTGGTACCAGACTGTGTTGAAGGATGCCAAAGGAGCTTTCCCCATTCCCATTTAAATAGCTGTCCAACATGTACAGTGGGGAATAGGGAAGGTCCCCATTCCCATTTAAACAGCTACCTTGACATTAGCAGCTGGAGATGATTGAGCTTTCCCATCACCTGCTGCTTATATGGTTATGTCTTTTACCCCCTGTTGTGCAGTGGGGGATGGGAAGGTTGAAATTCTGCTTACGTAGAACTTTTTTCAAACTTTTAAAAATTTTGCTATACTTTTTAAAAAATAACTGGGGCAAAGTAGCGAAACTCAGTTTGGCCGTTTTTAGTTATAGAAGGAAAAAGAGCATCAGTGTTCCAGTCAGATTAGCTGTAACATCTGAACTGAAAACTGGCCAGAATAGCATTTGAAACTGCATTTGTTTTCTAAAAAAAAATCCAATCTCTTCTAATTTTGATATTAAGAGCTTGTTAGTCAAAACAGGTCCTGAATATAAAAGCTCCTTGGACCATAAACCCATATTCTCAAGTCTTCCCAAAAGCTATTATATGCTATAGCTTTTCTCTGATAAAAGAAAAATTCTGCCTACAAAGCCTTGAACTTCATGTTGTGAACAGCATAAATTTTTTCCTGTTTTCTTTATTGAAAAAAATAAATCTGGGTAACCATCAGTAATTTTTTATGGTAACCTCTCCCCACTAACCCCCTGTACCCCAGCTTATGTTCTTCACACAACTGCTATACTCACTTCTAGATTCCCCCCTTAGAAATCCCACTCACTGTTTGTCTTTCCTCTGGTTACACAATTCATGGAGTATTGACTTAGTTGGAGCTTCTGAAAGCATGGGTACATTGGCCAAGTGTGTCTGTCTTCCGCAGATCTCAGTCTTTTTCAGGTTGACCTGGAATGTGCACTTGAGGATCCTGTCCCACCTAGCTAGGGTTCATGTGATCACTAAAGTTCTTGTGCCACAAATGACTCCTCATTGGTCTGAGAGGAACAGGTGATGTTCCCCACACTGCCCTAGCTGATCTTGTGTCTGAGGTGCCTACTAAAAATATGGGCCCTTACCTGAGGGTTTCCAATTAAGCTCCAACCGTAGGTGGCTGGCATTTCTCAGTCCTGGGAGTTTTTGTGACTGAAAATGTTTCTGGCTCCTTGAGTACTTGTATGGTTTAGATGGCAGGCAGTTTAATCGTAGCATTTTTGAAGACTAAGAATATGCTTTCTAGAAGATGGAGAAGTAGAAGGGCATTTTTGTCAGTGGCTAGCTCGCTGCAATTCTCTCTCCTATTTGAAAGTTTTGGGTATAAATTATATTGTAATTGGGACACAACTTGGGCAACATTTTTTATTAGGTTTTTTTGTCTCATTTGCTCCGATATCTTCTAAAGAGAGAGACTGTTATATTAGGCTTCATGGATAGTCTGCCTTTGGTCCAGGACCATTTGAGTTGCATACCAATAGAATAAACGTTCTGTGTGACATTCCCTCTGGGTTTTATTTTGCTAAACTAGCCTGGTATTTCCTGCAAGCCATGCTCTGAATTTGCTTGTATACCAAGTAATATTGAAAATCTTCCCATTCCCAATTAGAGAGAGAATGTTTAAGACATACCAGTGGAGAAAAATGGGAAAAAGAAATTAAAGCTAATTTTTTAAGATGTTAGTGATGTTAAATTGGGAAGGAATTTGTATATAGATCAGGTCCAAATATTAGTTAACTGAAGTAGTAAAAGGCAGTATCTATTGGATACATTAGCAGGGATCTGGGTTTTCTGTTGAAGGAGAAAATAGCAGATTTTCCCCTTAAAGGAGAAAACTGCAACTTTCCCCTTGCAGGCTGGCAGTGTTCCAGCCTGCAAGGAACTGCTTGGGCCTGCTTGGTTCTGTGTGCACACACATGGCCAGCATGCAGCAAGGCAGGGTGGTAGGAGTAGCCCTGGCAACCAGATGCAGGTAAATTTATTGGGGGGGGGGGGGGGCCCGCTTTGTCTTGGGGGAGGGGTTTGGGGGGGGGGGGGGGGGGGGGGG